AATAAATCGTTTCCTCTTCTTCCCCACATCTTCACCAGTAATGAGATGAGGCCATGAGCAAGAAGACAAAAGAATAAAAATTTACAATGAAGTGTCTATACTTAGATATTCTTGTTTTCAAAAGCACAATGACATCATTTTCGTTCTTAGGTATTTAAAATATAATGCAAAGAGACATGAAAAGTGAGGAGATGTTACTACATTACTAAAATAAGAAGTAAATTGATCCTACGTCATCGATTACATTAATATATTACTCAATTTAATTTAATAAAGATTGTGATGATGATGATGATGATGACGATGGTGTAATGCCGATGATTCCATTTGCATTCCAGTACACGTAGGTTTGGTTTGAATGTCAGTCAACTAAGGTAACTTTAGTCAGTTGAATTATTTAAGACATCAAAATGTTACAATTATTGTTCGCTGTACTCTTCATGCTTCATTAATGACTAAATAGTTTTTTATTGTCTCATAATTTTTGCAAACATTATCGTTGTGCTTTTATGATTAAGGCGTCTATGTCAAATTGCATGATTTTCGGCAATTATCAATATTTTGTACTGGATATGACTCAATAAGTGACTTTACCCGAAAATTATTTTCTCTGACTTGCGTAACAGCTATAATTATTTGGTAAGCTACCTAAAATAATCTGTAATATTTTGCAGCGCGATTGAGCACCCAAAAGTGGGCAATTTACCAACTTCTAATCAATTGTCTGTATTGTAGAAATTAAATTATTTCTCATCATCGTTATTGCACTTTTATAGCACTCATCAACACTTTAAGTATCGTCCATATCTCTTTTCATACATCTCAATCTACATACGCTTTATTTGGATGGAACTGACTGATGAAGGCTCATGAAAAATTGGTAATGAGATTTTTTCGACTACCATTGGTACCCAAAATAATAATATAATAATGTGTAATGGCAACAAACGATAATCTGTCGTATATTTTGCAGCTTAAACTTTCCATTTCACCATGTATCTGCATTTATTTGGTGAGATTTCATGGTGCTTAGTGATTTAATGTGTCTTTTGATAATGCATGCATGATTTTTGCTATAATAGCAACAATATTTGCCAGCATAATTTTTTTTTACGAACTGTGATTGTTTGAAAATGTTCAACGCGCATTTTTAAGCATCAAGATTTTTGACTTTGGTTATTGGATCACAAATTCTTGGCTGTTATAAAATCAGGATAAGGGTTCTTCTAAGAACTCGTACATAAACTTTTTGCCTTGTGACTCTTTGTTTAAGTGCCATGCATTCAATAATGAAATTGCATCATCTTATTTTTACCTAAAACTCATGAAAATTTAACATCACTTGATTTTTTGGGATGATGATAAAGTCAAACAATCGAAGTAAGTGCACTTTAAGCTTAATGGCACATGCAGACTGAGTGACCTGACTATAACCTCTTTTGTGGCTTACTTTGTGGTTAAACTATAAAGAAATTAAAGCCATTTCTCAATTTGATGGAGAGAACAGAAGCTGTTTTGCTATTTTTGTAGTCAAAAAGTTCCTCTGACAAGTATTTCTACAGCCATCAGACAAATTGCACCACAAACTTTCCCATACTTAATAAATATCTAGCAAAATTGACATCATTATTGAGCCTTAATCACAAAGATAGTTCATGTACATTTATGTCTACAAAGAAGACTTTCTTGATGAGGGACTAGCTAAATTTCGCAATTAGTTTTAATACCTTCATGCAAAAGTAATGCACATTCAACATTGTAAAGCTTTATTTTATGTCTAATTTAATTTTCGTTGCCATTTCACGGCACTTTTGAAGAGAAATTTTAGTTCCATACATTATTTTTATCTGCTGTAATGTGAGCGTAAATAAGCACAATAAATCAATCAAAAAATTTTTGTTTGAATAGAGGATAATTTCATTTTAACATGCGAATATCCATCATGTTATGATATATAGTCAAGTGTGATATGGACACTAAAATTGGCTTGAATATCGAGCGTGAAATTGGCTGTTAATGCCACAGTAATAAAAGTGAATAAGCTGATATTAGCAAAAGGTCCAAAATATTATTTAATGAGACTTTAATTTTTAATCAATCATAGAACAACCCTTTGTGGCATGTAAGTTTTGAATCCTATTGAGTTTGGTCAATATCACTCATTTCCTTTTTGATATGTTTTTGGCATAATTTGCTTTTATTCCTGTCATTAGTTTGCAATGAACCAGTACCATAATTATTATTTAAATATTTGGTCAAGCTTCTGACATCCCATCGACATTTGATGATCTTTGAGCTGTTTTACCTCCGGACTTTAAACTTTTTTTTTATTCGTAGAAAGGTCAGTCTTTCAACTTTCAAGTTTGTATAATATTGCAATTGATAGCAAAAACTTAACAATTTAATAAACATTTTTGAAAGCATCATTGGTATTTCGATTTTTTATATCCATTTCTAGTTTTAAACAGTCAATGAATTAACAAAAAAAAAACAAAACATTTTTTTTTCAAATACCAATACAAATGTCATTCCAGTTTAGTGCACTAATTTCGAGTTTTGATGTCTTTACTATCGTTCTTGATATCATGAAGACTTATTTATGACTTTATTGGATGTACACTAAGTTACTCACGTGTACGCTTTGTCAAGAATCTCTTATTAAGCATTTGATTTATGAATAATTAATGAAAATTAAATTAAAAGATTCAGGAAGTTATTAGATGCTTAAAGACATGCAAGAGGTAGCACACAGTTAATTTTTGGAAAGGATTGAATTCACTCAATTAATTTTCACATTAATAAAAGAATTTTTTGTAAGAATTGAGCATTTTAATTGACTATTTTGTAGTCAATTTTAAGACGAATTGTTGTTGCGCTATAACAGAACTTGAAAATATAAGATGCAATTTCGACTAGGAATTTCAATTATATTCAGGACAATTTTAAATATTAAATGAGAAACAAAAATGTATCAAACGGTATTTGTGGTTCAACAAAAATTAAGCAAGTGTCAAATCGATTGCCATTTCTGATTTTTATAAATATTTCTGATCACGTTCCTTCCAAAACATTATTTCTGTCAATACTAATAAATTAAATGTATTTTGGGTGCCGGAATCAGGTTAACGACTTAAAATTAAACTCTTCTTTAATTTATAAAAATCAGTTAAATCCAAGAAATTAAACTTGGCATGCAAATTCGGAGGTTCCTAGATGTGAGTCTTTATAGCTATAGAAAGTCAGAAATAGTATGGTCAGAGACCTCTCAAATCTACAAAAATTCTAATTAGCTCAAAAAATCCGATAAACTTAATTACATGGTCTTGTACCAATAAAAATAAACATTAATGTTCTGGTCTAGAGATTGGCAATCTGAAGTGCTAAAAAATCAATCAGAACAAGAGCTTGAACTTAAGTAAAAATAAATCAATTGAGCAATCGATCAATTCCAGTTCCTGTTATGTAAATTCAATAACTCAAGATAAGAATTAAAGCAGCTAAATCTTTAGAGCAGCTAGAGTCTGTGTTGTTACAAAAAATATTATTGTTGATACTTGTCGATTTTTTAAAAAAAAGTCTATCATGCACAAGATACAGTATAGAGAGCAAAAAAATATGATACTTAAGCGATCAAGCATTTCTTGTTTTCATGCCAGCCCTCTCACATAACAACAGCAATTGTGAACGAAATAGCCAACATTTTCTATATATTTCAAATTATTACAATCACTTGGCAAAATAATAGCAATATTGGAATAAAGTCTGGACAATAAACAGCAGTAAACTACCCGAACTAAGAAAAAAAAAATATGAAATGTGAAATCAACTGGTAATAGACTGGAAATGCTTTTCGGTTTTTTTCTTCTTTTTTTCGGGCCTAGTAGAGTTTTTTTTTCATACTTTTTTACATAAGTCGCATTCAATACGTAGACGTTGAACGTGGAGGACTTCTCACTCGCTCGCTCGTTAACTCGTTTTGAATTTCATTGAGCTTCACAAAGTTTAGTGAAAAAAAAATTGAAATTTATTAAAAATTAAAATAAAGTTTATAGTGAATTGCAGTAAATTCTTAGGAATTATAAAAGGACTGTTGGGAGTTATAAACGTGATTTGGATACAAAAATAATGTGTTATAAATAAAGATGTATGTGAATTAATTTATAAGTAATGTGTGTCTATAAAAATATTTTTATAATCATCAATGCGTGGCTCAAGTGCAATTTAAAGCCATAGGCTATCAACAAGCTATTAAATGAAGTTTAAATATTTGAAAAAATATAGTTTTAGTGAATTCAATGCTGTTTGCTTCTATTAATTATTAAATGCCTCAATAGTTGCAGCATAATTATAAAATTATTATCGTCCCGTAAAAAATCTCTGTGAATAATAATCGCAGTAATCAAAGAAATAAAAAGCAGTGACTCGTTACTTAACATAATAATCGCTGGGTGAGATAAGTGCTGTAAAGCTAATTCACTGTTAAAATCAATAATTCGATGCATGGCTTAATAAGTTTCCCAAAACAAAAAAAAACAACAAGTGGAAGAAAATTTTCGACATAGCCAGTCATAATTTGCCAAATAACAGGTTATATCTATTCATAAAATATTCAATAGATGATAATATGAGTTTAAAGTGAAAGTGATGCTTAAGAGCCAAAAAAAGTGTCTTTTTTTGTCATTAAAATAATTATTTATACTTCTTTTGCTTGCTTGAATTGCCATAAGTTTTGACCTTTGTATTTCCATATTTGACAACTTACGATCATTTCGCTTGTCATTTTGCATTATCATAAACGCAACTTAATGTTTTTATGAATGACGAAAAAAAGTAAAAACAAATACTTACCGAAAATAGTGGGGAAACACAACGAGTGTGTGCTTCATTTGCGCAAATATTTGACAGTGAAATTTAAATATTTTCTATGTGTGGTTGATTCAAAATTTAAGTTTTTTAACAGTTTGAAATTTCAAGATTTGTGTGATCTTAAAAAATATAATAATTAATTGTAAGTTAACAACTGTTAAGTCGAAAAAAGAGTAAGTCGAACACTTTGGATTGCGACAAACCCGTTAAATAGTTTAATTTTGGATATTCGCATAAACAAAAGAAAAGAAACAAAAAAAATATTCATTGTGTTATTGTCATCAAGCTAAATTACAAAAAATCGGCCATAAAATGATGACTTTATACAGGACATTGAAAGGAAAAAATAACACGTACAAGAAGAAACGTGATCGAAGGTAAGTAGCTAGTCATTAGAGTTTAATTTCTTAATTATACCTTACGTGATAAGTCAAACTGTATAATCTCATATTCAAATTTATCGCGAAATTTCACTTCCGGAAATGCATAGAAATAGTAGAGGTTGTAGCATGTGGACATTAGCTATGCACGAATTTTTTTTAAATTTTATGCAAAACTACCTAGAATCTCTCATCTTTCCTATTTGCATGAATTTTAGAATTTTTTTTCTCATTGCATACGTACGGTACTAGAGAGGCACATAATCATGCTTCTGTGCTGAATGATCGTGATCACGAATTCCTTTCGACAACAGTCATTGATCGATCCATATTCATATGCCTTTTAAATTACATAACAATTTTTCTTTTAATATTTGAACATGATTTAGTTATTCTCACATGGTCAGTCTATATGTCTGAATGTCTTGATAGAATTCAATTGTTTCGTATGCTTTCAATTTAATGTAGACACATCAACCTTCCTTCATTGACTGCTATAATTAAATTGTCAACTATGTTTTGCGAGATTGTGCAATTATGATCGACAGAATATTGAGAATTGGGGGGGGGGGGGGGGGGGTTCCATTAAAAACAAAAAGAGATAGGAGAGACGTCACTTGCAAGCACCCCATCAAATATTTTAATCGAGAAAATGATTCACAATTTTGACCATGGCAATGACATGGTCCCATTGTCGCATCTTTCATATCCGTATGTGGAATTTCTTTATATAAGTCTCTTTTCTATTTTTGTCAATATGCATTTAAATTTCTCGAAAATCATTCAAATAAATAAGAAATGTTAATGTCACGTTTATCAACCGCGCACACGTATGTAGTAGCAGCAAGCTAGAAAAAAAATGTCTTTAGCTTGTCGATCGATTTCGCATAGTCTAACTGGTAGGCGAAAAATAATTGCAATTTTATTGGTAATTTTCAATCGTCAATAAATCAAATATGATTGGGTTTCGTTGTGATCGAAGAGGTTGTGTGTTAAGACGAAGGCTAAGTCTGTAATTTATTAAGTTGGTTTGAACAAAAAAAAAATTCAAAATTGGTAAATTTGATTAGTTTTTTTAAAGTCTATTGCCTGAGGGGTGCAATTTGGAAGTAATTGGAAATTTACTTTCGATTTTATGAGGCTGAATATTTTTTATATAGTCGCAAAATTGATATTTTATGTCTCCAAACTTCTTCAAATTTCCAAAAAAAAATAAATTAAGAAATTGTCCAAAAATAGTTTGATAGTAAATCACGGAAAGTTGATATTCAATCACAAATTTGCCAAAAAAAAGTAGTTTTAAGGTTCTCAGTTTATAAAGTTAAATTAATAGCCTTCATAAAAACTTAATGAGTAGGTGTGAAATCTTGAATAACCGCAACTTGAATTCGTAAGTGTCAAAAATTAAATAAATTTCCTATCTTGCAATAATTTTGCGAGTCTCTGGTTCCTAATGCGATTATCTTAAAGATTATAATGTTAGCACTTGACACAAGACTTCGTTACTGTGTGCATGATTATGCACCGTAAATATTTAAATCTGATTATTTCCTGATTATTTCAAGTTTAAGTTGACAAGAATCGAGTCAATTGATGAATTTTTAACTGCGAGAATTTGCAGATAAATATGCAAATAAAAAACCTGCAATCTAATTTGATCTGTCTGAGACTGTTCAAATATTCGCAATTCCTGCTTAAATTTTATACAACTTCCTCGTCAAAGCTTTGTCTTGATAAAAAAAAGTCAATCAAGAATCCAATGCCAAATGACTTTCATAAAATTCAATTGAAATCTACTCACAGATGCTGTGTCCCATTTATGATTCTTGATGATTCACAATTTAAAGTACAGAAATTTTCCACATTGCTCACGATCAAAGCTTAATCATATTTTTATTGCTACAAAATCCATAAAATAAATATGACCCAATATTAACACCGAGTGTGGTTTTGTGGCTCTTCTTCATTTCTTTATGCAAATTAAGTAGTTTACAGAGTTGGATTATTGATCTTTAAGCTTTCTTCTTGCTTCCAATTCATGCCTATCGACACCACCCGAATTCTCAACACTGAATAACATCCACAACAAATCGTTTATTAATAATAAAAAAAGATTCGATGACAATCAGCCATGCTTGATTATATAAAATGTGTTAAGTGGTTGCTTATTGCAATTGGCATGTAGTGAGCAGCTAAATAAGGTCAATGAGAAAAATGTTCTTTTTTTTTGTTTTAAAAGTATGGACATCATAAATTGACATGAAGTCCTTCAAAATTATAATAATGCACCAGGAAAGGAAGAATTTTAATAATCCTTCGACATATAATTGAGAGTAAACGAGGTGAACATAAATGGGACACGGACGCATGAAAAAAATATTTAATTCCGTGAATGTATTTGTGAGGTGAATGAATTATTCTAAATGAAAACAAAATAGAGGAGAAATTGAATGGAAGGAAGTTATTTCATTTCATTCCTTTTTCAGTCGTTGCCTTCCGTTCATCGTACTGCACGACATTTCAATAAAGTTCTGTGAATGTTCTGTAAACTGTTTGTTATTTCTTGCTATTGCATAACTGCATATTACATAGTATTTGACAAAATCGATATGTGTGCAAAATAAAGCAACGGGCTATGATTCTTTAATTCATGAACTGATCACAATTCTGTCTATAAATGGAAGTTTCCTTTTTGTCTTGTACGAATAACTTAGTGAAAGATTTATAATAGCGAATATGAGAGGCAAAAAATTGGATTTAAAGTGAGTAAGAGAAATAAAATTCAATTACAATAGGCTATGGCGATGTGAGGGGACATAGAAACTGAAAATATTGTGTCTTAAAGAATAATAAATTATTAGCTGTCCATGATGCAATATTGAAAGATTTGCAATTTTTCAATAATTTTGTAGCACGTGTTTGTAGAGTGAATTGAGTATATGCATTACATTTTGTATAGATTATTGGGTGTTGTAGCTGTAATTTTTAAGTATTTTGAAGCTTTTGAGTTTTAGCAATCATGTTTTGAAGCTTATTTTTTTTTGTTGATCTTATGGTCCCTGCTAGATTACTAGATAAGCCACAAATTAAATTTTTTCAAAAGGGTTTAAAACAATTGATAAGCAATTTTCTAGCAAAGAGAAAACCACAAAAAGGAAACCAACATAACATATCCTGAGAAGTTGTTCACAAGATAGGAAGATAAAAAAGTCAAAATTATAAAAAATTATAATTTAATAAAAGTGCGCTCTGTCAATCAACAGCATTTACTTTTTACAATTGCTTCAGCAATAATCAAAGTGTTAATGCAATTTTTTAAGACTCGAAGCTAAATTTAGTCACTGATGAAGTGCAATTTATCATGTGCTTATGTTGTGTATATAAAAAATGACATTAAAAACTTAATTAATGCCATTTTGATTATTATGCAAACTTAAATAATATCACCACGTTATAGTCTAAATTTACACACAGAAACGAGGTAAAAAGTCTGAATTATTTGCACAACATTTTTGTTTTTATTTCTCCTTTAATGACTTCTTGTTGCTTGTTGTTCGTAATGATTTGTCTTTTGTAATTTATTTTAATCATTATGCATTAAACTATTCACATTTTTATAGAGTAAAATGGAATTGTTTGTAAATTGTTAAATAGCAAAAATGTTGTTCGACTTTATTTGATTTTTTGCCGCACAATTTTCGGGTGGCATAAATCAAAGAAGTAACACAAATCACCTTGAAATTGAAAGTGAGGCAGCAGAAATGAAATTAAAAGTTATTTCCAGATGAAATGGAATTCATTCTGCAGAACGCACTTATCATGCAAATTAACTTTAATCTCATGCAATATTTCTCATGCTTAATTACATCCATTCTTTACATTCACACTGTATTTCTCTCAAGAATAAACTGTTCGAATAAATTATGATAAGGCTTATGGGATAATTCTGTTTAAAAGGCTTTCAGCTTGCATTTAGTGACTTCTTTCCATTTTTGTTCATTAAAATTGTTTGTTTATTGAGAGTAACTACTTAATTTTCATGAAGCGGTGCCACAAATTGAAACAAGTTCATTAGACTATAAATATTCAAATTAAGTTTATGTATGTGGGGTTATTGGAACCACAAGAAACTTGAAAATTTTTTTTCTGTGTTTATGTACTTAAATGGTCTCTGTTTCCCGAATTTGTTCTATTTATAGCACAGAATAATGTTTTATGAGCTACTACTTATTTTTAGTTTTGGCTGGTTTCAAATTATTTATACAGTATACAGACATTTTGATCAGCAAACGGAAAAGGCTCGTATTACAGCTTCAAATTTATAGATAACGTTAAAGCTAGTCTGATTAAATTAGGAATTAAACCTCTACTGATATACTTATCTCACGTAATATAGATTTAACCATAATCCTAACTTTTGTCTAGCTTGGGTAACCAAAATTCCAAACTCGACGGAAAATATCTTTCTCCTTTCTGCTCACAGTTAAAATAGTTGAGCAAATTCATACTCAAACCTTACAATTTTCAAGATTTTCATCTCACAATTTATCTCTTTGCACATAAATTCCAGTAAACTCATGACAAATTATTCATCCTTCAATTCTATAATTTTAAATCTTTAGTCACATTTTAAGCTTCCATAAATCTCAACATAAGTAAATCCATGACAACTGAAAAACATGTGTGGATAATGCCATTATTTTTTGCACGAAAACAATAAACTATAAATCCACAAAACATGTCATAAACACATGCAGCTGTAAATTCATTACTCAATTTATTTATGATTAACAGGTTTAATAAAAAAAATTTAAATTTACCGTAAAATTTTCTAGCATCCATCTACTAATTTATTTCATATTTGACACAAATGATGAAGAATTTTGTGCAATAATCCAATCAGATATTCAATTTCAAAAGTCCCTACTGAAACAATATATTTAAAGATACAAGTGCTGTAAATCAATCGATCAGTCATCAGCTTTAAGCACGTGTAA